ACAAACTGTATACAGAGCAATACAAGTAGATCTAAAATACAAGTTGTTGAGTATTTACAGCACTATTCCACTTTTAAAAATATATATCTACACAATCTATGCTATATTTTCCAAAGGATGTATAAATTAGACATATTGTGGTGATCGCCTTCTGGAGGAGAGAAATGGGTGGCAAATGGGGATTAAGGGAAAAAAACAAAATAGAATAGGGTTTTGCAAGCACGGATGATGCTGTTCTAAAAATCGAGGAGTAAAATTAGCTCAATTCTGCACCTGAGATTTAAACACACACACACACACTCTGTCTCTCTCTCTAGCTCTCTACCTCCCTGAGTTTCTCCTGAATTCCTTCCAGCAATTTATTCTAGCAAACCATATCTGCAGGGGGAACATTGGAATAAAACCATCTAATCTTACTAAACTTTTCTGGTTACACTGTCTCAGTGGTTCCCAAACAGGGGGAGTTTTGCCCCCCCCACCCCACCCCAAAGACATTTGGCCTCTGGCATGTCTGGAAACATTTTCGGTGGTCACCACTTGGCAGTGGGGTGCTGCTGGCATCGAGTGGGTAGGGGCCAGGGATGCTGCTAAACGTCCTACAATGAACAGGACAGCCCCCACCACAGAGAAGCATCCCCCCAAAATTTCAACATGAGACGGAGAGCCCCCACACCACCTCACTGCATTATCCAGTCGCTTCTCCCGTCTTCTCCTCTTTCCCCACTTCCTTCTCTCCTCCCCTCTTTCCCTCCCACCTTCTTCCCTTTCTGCTCAAGCACCATCTGCTGTCCCACGATGCCTCACTCCCTTTAGCAGTCATTGGATCTGCTTAAATACCATACTGATTTTAACGGTTCACCTAAAGACTGAGACTGGGATAAACTGAGAGTAAGCCTTTAATAACTAAAGAAAAGTAATTGACAAAATGCCTCTCATTCCTTTCTCTCTTGTGGGTTGCTCCTCTGCACACCCATCTATTACAACAGGAAGGGTGTCCAATTTCAGATCACTGAGGCCTCTACAAAGTCTCCGGGGAACTTGGTGAAGGAGGTAAATGTCCCAGGAGGACAGCGGTTTACAGGAACAAACAGAAGAGGCAGGGGAGCAGAAGTCGGGGGCCGCGGACCCAGGGGCACAGACTGGGCATGGTGGGCCTGGGGAGGGGACTGGGCCCTGACAGCCCCAGCCTTGGGGGAGGCCTCTCCCTGCAACCAGAGGGAGAGAGAGACCAGAGAGACTCCTGACAGTTAAGACTCCAAACTCTCCCAGCCACAGGACGGGCCTGCTGTGTCCCAGGTGCGATTCAAGTCTAAGTGAAAGGAAAACTGTTCAGATGACGGAGACAAACGCGGAAAGTGCAAGTCGGCGACGCCCTGTTGAACTCAGTTATTTTTTTAAAGGGCTTGGGTATCAGAGTATTGCAGTCCAGTTTAGGCTAAGGAGCAGATTAAATAAAGTTCTTCAGAGATGTAATTTGTGTTCTCATGTGTTTTCCCTGAAGTCCTATCAATTTCCGTTTGCTAGCTTGTCCCTTGAGAGCCTTGGAGGTTAAATTATCGTAAATTATCTCCGCAGGACACCTTTTCCCCTCTTCTTGCTGCTGCTAATGGTGGTGGTGGTGTTTTGTTTCGTTTCCGTTTTTTAAGAAATGAAGGAAAAAATTGGCAATTCTCTGGAGACGCATTCTCCTCCCAAATTTTATTCAGTCCCAGTAGTAGGAATGAGTATGTTCAGATCTCAAGCAGTAGTCTTTCTTCTCCAGGTAAAAAATTTCTAATTCTTACGAATCATCTGGTCTTGAATTCGTTTTATTATTATTTTTTTTAATTTAAAAAATAACAAAATAGGAAATATGGGGCAATCTGTGCATTATTCTTTTTTTTATTATTATTATTTGTGAGGAAGATCAGCCCTGAGCTAAGTTCCATGCCAATCCTCCTCTTTTTACCAAAGGAAGACTGGCTCTGAGCTGACGTCTGCAGCCACTGCTGATTCTCCTCCTTTGTCTTATCCCTTTTTCTCCCCAAAGCCCCAGTATATAGCTGTACATCCTTCTAGTCGCTGTATGTGGGCCGCCTCAGCAGAGCTCGACAAACAGAGCATCCGTCCGCGCGTGGGATCCGAACCCCAGGCCGCCAGCAGCAGAGCGCGTGCACTTAACCGCTAAGCCACGGCGGCGCGCTCTTCTGAGGTACATCCCCACCCCAGCCACCCGGGAATTAAACCGCCCAGCGGTGCGCATGCTCCGTTAGCCATCACGCGCCTGTCTCCTTAACAAACTGACGGCGCGGAGGGGCGGGGCTCGGAGCGCGCGGGTTCTGATTGGTCCGCCGGCAGGAAGTGGGCGGGGACAGTGCCGTCATCCGGGCCGCGGGGTGAGAGGCCGCGGGTTCGGAGCGCGGACCGGCGGCTGCAGCGGGTCGCGGGCGTGGGGCGCGGACCGCACGACGGGCCTCCTTCTCCGCGGGG